TGGGCTTTGCTTAGCTTGTTGTAAGTAGGTGCTTTATTTTATTTTTTTTATTTTTATTTATTACATTTATTTATTGTGTCTGTGTGTGTGTGGCCAGCTCAGCCCACCAGGGGGCGGGGCTGGCCGGCATGTGGTGCTGGGGGATCGAACCGAGGTCCCTGTGCTTTGCCAAGCTTGTTTCAAGTAGGTGCTTTAGACCACTGAGCCATCTCACCAGCCCTGTACTTTTTAATATGTACTACAAACAAACTTTTTTTTTTGGTGGTACCAGGGATTGAACTCAGGACCTTGCGCCCTATCTCTCCAGCCCCAGAAACAAATTTTTTGAATTCCAGAGATGAAAAACAAGCATTCCAACAAGATGAGGTGCTATCATAAGGAACATGATGTCAAGAGGAGCGAGGGCTGCGATAGCAGCCAGATGCTAATGCGGAGAAGATAGCAGCAACTGAAAACCACAAGTCAGGACAGAGAAACTGAATGCTATCTAGAGAAAGTATTAGATCAAGTATCCTTTCAGCTGGCTGTGATGGTACCCATGCCTGTAATCCCAGGAGGATGTCTGGGAGTTCAAAGCCAGCCTGAGCTACAGTGAGTCTGAAACATGCCTATGCTGCAAAAAAAAAGACCCTGATTCAAAAACAAAAGCAAATTTTTTTGTGTTTTTCCTACAACTAGTAGAAAAGACTTGGGTATATCTGATGGGAAAGGCAAGAGCAAGCAGTACAGAGCAGGAAGTAAGAGGGAACGCACAGCATGCTCTGCGCAGGCCCTCTGACTACCCTATACCATGAACCAGGCAGAGCTGACTTAGACTTGGAAAGGTGCCTTCCTAAATACAGAGCAGAAGAAAGAGGCCAGGGAACAGAAGTGGCAAGCTCGCACTTACGGGAACCAGGGAAAGGCAAATATGTGAAGCAGGCTTGACACGGCCCAGCCAGTCTGGGAGGGCAGTAACTACATGCAGCCAGGAACTCTTGCCAGAACAGTATTAATTTTTAAAATCTAGAGTATCAAACCTAAGAAAGTTTCTTGGTAGATACCACAATTCAAGTTAACATTCCAACAAAGGACCAAAAGATGTCACATAACCCTAAAGTGGCACTCAAGACACAGCACCTTCCCTTCCACCACAGCTTCCTTTGGGGGAGGAAACATTGCTGGGAAGAAAATTATATTGGTTAAAATTTAAAATGGGGGGCCAGTGAGATGGCTCAGTGGAATAAGTGCTTCCCTGGCAAGCGCAAGGGCCTGAGTTCAATCCCCGATTCCGCCAAAAAAAAAAAGAAATGGTGGATGGTTACAACCTAAGTTTGCAGACCAAAATTAGAGAAAAAAGAGGGCCACAAGGAAAGCCAACATTTTGGCCCTAGCCTTCCAAGGTCAATTAAGACTCAGGACA